CTGGCTTCCGTTGCCGGAATGTGGTGACAATGTCTTCTTGGGCTTTTCTCCGCCTCTGCCTTTTCGCCTGGGCTTTGGCTTTGCCTTTGGTATTGGCTTTGAGTTTAGCTTTAGCTTTTCCCTCCGGTTTGTTTTGCTGCCACAGACAATTGCATTGTTGTTGCCTCCTTGGCCATTGTCGCAATGCTAGTAATTTGTGCAAATGAGCCTCTAAAAAGGCGTGGAGCCTTTCGGACGTGAACGGGAAACTAAAGAAGGGCGAGGGGGTATATCCCCATCGAGGGGATATGGAGAAAAAAAGCATCGAAATAGACAAAAAAATGTTTAAAGCGCCATTCGGCTATGCAAACGATGTGGGTCCCGCCGAAAATGAACAAGAAAGGAAAGCTGTTAAATGTTTTTCCCTCCATTTTCCAGTGCTTCGTTTTCAGATTTTTGCCATAGTTCAGATGGCATTGCCTTTTTCCATTTTTTTCTGCTCTTGCGGCAGTAAAATCAAATGATAATACCGTTGGCTTTAAATGTTAATTGAGTCGCCGACAAGCAGGCCAATCCTTGGATTTAAGACTGAAGAAATCATGCCATTAAGCAAATCACACAGCTCCATTCACTCGAATCATCTAGAGCACGTGCTCCGCCTCGAGAGTCGAAGAAAAAAAAAACAAAAGATAAATAATAGCAGGCCAAAAGCGAAACCATTAAAAACTACGCACAGGCGGAAAAACAACAACAGCAAAAAAAACAAGAAGAAAAAGAAGACTAACTATTTACTACGCCTACTCTGACGTTTCGTCGTCGTTATCTGTGAAAAAATTAGCAGAGACCGAATCAAAATAAACCGAAAGTAAACATTGGCCAGCGGGAAAAAGAGAACTCACGCACACGGCCATAAATGGGGTGATAAAGCTGCCGGCGAGACGAGGAGGCCAAAAACACGCCTGCGCCATTGAGTTAGCCCAGAGCCCCCAAAACCCCACCGAAAAAACCCCCGAAAACCTCTCGCCAAAAAAAAAAAAATAAAAGAATACGCACACATTTTACTGTTACGCATGTTTTTCGATTTTCGTGCCGCGCGTATTTCACCTGCAAAAATTCCGGCAATTCGGCCTTTGTTTACCCCCACAAACTTCCGTCTGGCTGGCTGCTCGGCTACTTGGCGCTACAACTTGGCTTGGAGGCCACCACATCCCCCGAAAGTCAGGCTTTTGTTTGCTTAACTCAATTTTATTATTCGTTTTCGCACACAAAAAATAAAAAATAAAAAAAAGAAGCAACTGGCGGGAGAAGATTGAAGCGAACCGAAAAGAAACAACAAAAATTATGTGTGTCAACGGCGGGGCAGGGCTACAAAAAATGAAACCTCCAAATTAACAGGGACAACAACAAAAAGAGGTCGCCTTGTTTAAACAAAATAAACAAATAAAGAGGCAGCAACAAAAGCCGAATTCAAAATGTTTCATGTGCGAAAAACTCCCAGAGAAACGAAGAATGGAGAGGGAAAGGGGGGTTTTAAAATTGACTCACCTCACGCAATGCAAAACAACTAAAATTTTGAACTAACAACAACGTTGCCTTGAACAACAACAGCTAACAACAATCCCAAGCACTTGTCTGCTTTTCGGCCTGTCCAAAAATAAAATCAAAATAAAAAACGCACACACTAAATTCGTCTGGCGACGTCATGGGCAAAATCATATTATAAACTAAACGAACAAATGAACGAAAAAAAAAACAAATCATAAAAAACAAAACGAAACGAAAAAATGTAGGCACACAAATATTGAATAACAAAAAAATGCGTGCGAGTGTGTGTTGATTTGTTTTGATTTCATTTCGCTTATGGTAAATGGAAAGATTCCGAATATATTGCGCATACGCACCGTTTGCCATTTAAAAAAACAAACTGGTTAAACGAAACTAGAGCGCTTCCTGTCTGAATGTCATGACTGTGTCGGTTCACATCGATTCATTTTTGGGGACAAAACACTTGTCATTACACGAGTTTCTGGCCAAATCGTATTTACCTTCAATGGGTTACTTTGCGCTTCGCTTTGGTTTTCTTTTTTGAACGAACATTTCCGCTTTTGTTGTTGCTGTTGACATTCGGCTTGAATAAGCGTAGATATGAGCCATAGAATCTTGGGCCTTATCGTGCAAACTGATAAGCTAAAAGCTCTTTCGCAAGGCACGCCGAAACCTCAATGAAGTTGGGGGTAAAAATACAAAACAGCAAAACAAAAAAACCAAACGCTCTAATCACAGAAATCAGCCAACGACTTTGGTTCTTTTTGTTCGTTTTTTCTGTTTTCTGTTTTTTATTCGATTCTTTTACTTTTGCCTGCGTATAAATTACACTTGAAAATTGCCTAGATTTTGATTGGCGATATCGCTGGGTGCTCATGCCTTTTGTCCGATTGCCGGAGTCGCTTTGTCTCCGATTAACTCGCACTTGCGCTTTCCCTCGCCAATTTGGTGAAAGTTTTCCGCCAACCGAAGACGACCCAGGCCGAAAACAAAAGCGAATCTCGAGCACGTGGCTAATTCAATAAGCTTTAATTGCAAACGGCGAACGACGAGCTGCAAACTGCAAGCCACAAGCTACAAACTATAAACCGTACTTAAATCAAGGCGAAATGTGTAGTTGCAGCCAGCGAATTTCATGCAATTTCCACTAATTTCGCGGCCGCATGCAAACAACCCAAACAACCAAAACAACAACCGACTGGCCGTGGCAAGTCCTCCTCAGTTTCCTCAGTTTCGGGGCATATCATATCGCATCTCTTACTTCCTGACACTGCAATGTAATTTTGCTTTCAACACCTCTTTTTCCAACTCGACTCGACCGACGGTTGGTTGATTGCGGCCAGCCAACGTGGTCAAATAATGGCGAAACCAGCCAAACAGCAACAGCATTTCCCAGGCTTAAAAGCTAAGAGAGAAGCAAGAAAAAAAAAAAAAACGAAGGAAAATACCGCCTGGCCCCGAAATCGGGCGCGAATATATCGCATTTCAATCACGCGCTCTGGGGCAATTTACGTGCGGCCACGCAGCAGCGAGTAGGCCGAAAAGACAGCGTTTTCTGGTCAGAGAGCGCAGCATCAACAATGCAACATCAACATTGTAACTGCCGCTTGCAGTTTATTAAGGTTTTTCCACCGCTTTTTCCACCGCGCAATGGGGCGGAAAGCAAACGGCCTAACGGTACGGATTGTGCGCATTAAATGGCCACATCGTGATGGCCAAAACCCCTCCTCCCCCCTTAACCCTCTTCTCCCTTTCGCCTCCCCTTTTTTAAGTTTCCCCTCCCCCTTTTCCGTGAGGCACGCGCCTTTTGCCGGCCGGCAAGAAATGACGGGAACCCAGAAAACAAAAAAAAAATAACGAAAAAGAAAAGCAGCAGTGATTCTCCACGGCGGGGAAAATGTCGATTTATGCGCGAATTTACTTTTATGCGATTAGCAACGATCTGCTGCAGAGGAAATTTATCGTTGAGTTTAGTAAATTTAATTGGGACGGAAATCCAGGCGGCCAGAGAGGTGCTGGCATTAGACAAAAGGCTAAAACCTGGTAGCCGGGTAATAAAGTTTTATGGCCCCAGCTCTTCTGTTCGGTTCGGTTTGGTTTTGGCCAACGAGCTGCATTCGGGGCTAAGTGCAGTCTTGGCCACGATGGCCCGCGGCTTTCAACATCGCACAATGGAGTTCGCCAAACAGCACGAGTTCAGTTTGCTGTTTGCTGAATGCTGCTTGGTGTTTTGCGTTTTGGCCCAAGGCAGATGGCCGGGAGATAAGAGGGAGTGGAAGTTCCTTCCTCGCTGCAAATAAGCCGCTTAAGTCTAAGCATCAATAATTGCTTGGTGCAACAGCTCGCCATGCAACTAAACAACCAACCATCGAACCAACCATCGAACCAACCATCGAACCATTGAACCAACTATCGATCCACATAAACTACTCCAGAATGAACGGGGCACCTGCTCCTTGTTGGCCAAGTTTAATCCTGGCACGCAGCAAGCGTCTCAATAGCTGGCATTTGGCTCAATTGGGCTTTCGTCCCGAAGTGTGGGAGCACTCAGCTTGATTATGGCGGGTCTGCCAAATCAGTTTCGCTTCTCTCTCGCTCTGCATTTCAAATGTTTTGAATTTATGAGAGTGTCGCGTCTTTATGGTCATCTCGTTCCCTTCTTTACAAAATGCATTCTCCATTGTCGCCGGCTGGCTTTGTTGAATTTATTTGAGCATACGAAGCGCTGTTCATAAGGATTTTCATCCGATTTGGCCAGCGAAGGTTGCGCCAAGGTTAGCTTAAAGCTTCAAGCCAAAGGCCGCGTGGAAAGGCAGTTGGTTGGATGTGGGAAATCTACACCCAACTCAAATTCGTTTGACGTCGCTTCAAATATGTGAGGCCATCGGAAGGAGGCCAATTAATGACGAAACAATAACACACACAATGGACGGCATTAGCGGCAGTGGAATTCAGTGGCCACAGAAATTAGTTAAATGGAAAAATAGTTTTGCGATGTTTTGCATTGAAATGCCGCTCGAAGCGATTATCGCTCAAAAGACCTCGTGGGTATTGTTTTTGTTGTTTCTGTTGTTGTTGTTGCTGTTGCTGTTGCGCAAATTACAACGATGTGGCGGCAACTTTGATGTCGAAAGCTAAAGCTGCCGATGACTGCGTGTCTATATCTTTATCGGCCAGTTTCTAGTTGCTGTACTCGTATGTAGATCGCAGCCTGTGGGGGCGACTGATAAAATCAAGAATCAAAACTGGGTCAATGCTCAGAGCTGGAATTGATTTGCCACTGAAATGGAAGGAGGTTTTTAAATCTATGTTGCGTAAAAATTTGTTATACTTCAATTTACTTCAATTTATATTATTAGAGAAATTATTATACATTTTGAGCTTACTAGTTTGAGTTTCTCCTTTTCCTTTATTTTAATTTTATAAGAATTATTTCTTATTGATAACTAACCTTTCTTTTCCTCTCTTTTTTCCAGTCCTCGGAAACGTCCGCCCAGCGATCACCAGGACTACAGCAGCGATCCCAACAAGGACGAGGAAACATGCCGTGCCGCTGAGATTCTCTCATCGATGAAGTTGCAGAGCCCGCATGGCGGTAGGTCATCCTACGCACCCTGCCACTCCCACTTCCACCCACCCTACCCCGCCCCCTTGACCCTTGACCCCCGCGTAAGAATTCGCTTACTCATACCCAATTACCAATTCCCCAGCCATGGCCGACAAGTGCTCGAGTCCCGGCAGCAGCTCGTCGGCCTCCTGGAGTTCCGGATCCGCTTCGCCGCCTCTGAGCGACGACGGCCACGCCCACCACAGCCCACACAACATAATGTCGCCACACGATGCGGCTAACGCACGCATACGCACAACATCGGTGTCCACATCCGACGAGGGCATTGTCATCGACTTCAAGGAGGAGCGCAAGAAAAAGGTAAGCGATTTGCATCCACATCCCCTTCAATTTATGCTCTACACAATCTAGATGCAGATATAGATAAAGATATATGCAGATATGTAGTAGATATAGAACAGAGAATGCGGTCAGAGGAATCTGGGCTGTTGGCGGTGGAGCGTGACATTTTGTTGCATTTTAATTGCAACTTTGTGTATAGATTTTAATTGCCATAATTATGTAAATGTCGGTCATTTCTTGGCACGACCACACGGCGTATGCTTAATGCGGCACAAATCGCCCATTACTCATACGCAGTGTGTGCTGCTAAAGAAAAATGTGTATATGCATATAAAAAATCAAATAAATGTCGAATTCGCTTCTCACCGAGGAGAATGCCAACGCATCAACGAAAAAGGGCAATGTCAGCAGCTCGTTAACTTGGCAAACACACACATACACACTTGTACACACAAACACACAGACATGAAGTCAGAGAGCAACAAAATCAATAGAACCTCCGACCATCTCGAGTTTCAGGTTCCCTCTTTAATTAATTATTATGTTTGAACTTTAAGGGCCGCAGCCCGAAATCGAGAACCGAAACACAACTTACGCAACTGAAAGCCGGCAGAAACACCACCCACCACCCCCACTCTCCCCCCTCGAGAAAACTTCTGGCATAACCGGCGGACAGTCTGCCGTTCGCCGTTCGCCGTTTGTTTGCCCAACTAGTTACGCTTTTTCGCCCGCCTCGTGTGTTTGGCTATTTCGTTTAGAGCTTTTAAGGGCTCTTAACAGCAAACACACAAAAACCTAAAAACGAGCAGCCGGCGACGACAACCACAACAACAACAATAGCAACAACAACAATAACAACAACAGAAATAACAACGAACTGTACAAATATCGAAGTGAGCAGCAGCCGCGGTAGAATATGTTAACCTTGAAAGTCTGATTAGATATTCATATGGTGGTTATATGTTTTATTTACACACCGACAAGCCCGAAAAGCACTGCACAAAAAAAGCTTAGAACCTAAATAAATATAGAACATGCGCTTTTAAAAAACCTTTAATATGTAATAAACTTTCTAACTATGAAAAATACTTTTAATGGAAACAAAATTTATTCAAATATAGATATTATTGTGGCTGTGTTTATTTAGTTAAATATCTCTTTGGACAACCTTTTCTCTAATCGTTCGTTTATCATTTAATAAGTACGTTTGGATAGCTGCTTGAATCTCCATAACCACTTGACTTCTAACCCCCGTCCAATCAATTTTCCATTCATTTCAATTAGTCAAACGCTTTCGAGTCTTCGCTGCCAGCGATTGCACTTTCACTTTCCATACCTGTTGCACAACCGGGCCGAAAAAAGCTGACCAAAGCGTCAAACTTCCTGCTCCGTCTGTCTGTGTCAGTTAACAAATTACGAAAAAAAGAAAAAAAAAAACACACATTTTCTGTGGCTGGGAGTGCGCATTTGAATTTATGTCAGAGCCAGACGGCCACGCCCACCGTTTTGGGGGCTGAGCAGGGAAAACAAACAAATGCACAACGAGCACAATGGAAAAGTTTATTTTGCCAAGGCGTGGCTGGTTAATTGAAAAGATATATGCCGCAGTTCCGCATCTTGCATCTCGAATCTCGCTGGCCAGCAAAAAACGAAAAAAAAAAAAAATATAAATAAAAACAAAAGCCAGCTGGATGGATGGATCGCCGAGATGAGAACGAATGCAATTAATGTCTAATTGTGCGCAATTATTGTCAGTTGTCAGCTGTGTGATGTGCCGCATCAGAATGCACTCGACCCCACGCCGAATCCGAATCCGAATTCGAAATCGAGCGAAGTGGAGATCTTCAAGGCGGCCACGTGGCGAATACGTAATGCCGCCCAGCTGAGATTACTCATACGCACTGTGGAGCGCGTGCGGCAGTTGCATCGCCGATGATTAACCTTGGTTTTCTGAAGCGCGTCATGCGATTCAAATGGGACAATACATGGACTGCAGTGAAACACCAAGAGGAGGCGATTCATTCGCGGCTTTTGTCTCGCTGGCTGGATTGTCACCACCGGGTTATTACTTAAAATGCAGATTTATGTGCATTCGCCGTTTGCCATTTACCGCCGCCACCCGTGACAATCAGGGCCAACCCCAACCGCCAGCGTTTTAATCAAGGCCCTTGCCATTGCAATTGCACTCGCATTAAGCCAACGCCAAAGCCAAAGCCTTATGGCTCCAAGGCAACTCCCCACCGCAATGGGTGGTTAAACGCTCGCCCATTAATTTCCAAGCTCACACACAGCCACACCACGCACACACACACACACACACACGCGTAAGGATGGCCGCCAAATGAGGGGGGAGGGGGAGGTGGGGAAAAAACCCCGAGTGGGAAGGCCACAAGTCAATCCTGGAGGGGAAATTAAAACGCAAACTGCCACGATAGCATGTGACAAGCAATCAGAGCCAACAATTTGCGGTGACAAAATGCTAGAGAAGTTTTTAAAACTCAACTCTAGAAGCTAGAAGTGAGAAGCCCCATCCAGCTTCTCATAGAATTTCCCCAGAATTTTCGCCTTAATTGGGCCAACCCTTTGAGAGCCGCCTCAGCCATTCACTTTGTTGATGCGGCTAATTGCACACGCCATGTTCTCTATAGTATAGTATAAACTTTTCAAATTCCAACTCAACTCAGTATAGCATAGTTTTTTTTCCGACTAATTTGTTTTATAATATCAAAAGGCAACAACAGCAACGGCAAACGCCAAAGCAAACAGGCAAATTATAGTGCGCGGAGCAGACAGCGCGGCGGGTGATTCAGGGGGTGGCATCGCGGGGAGGCGGGAGGGGGAGGGGGTGGATGAGCCCCGGCGTTGCGGTTAGCTGGCATTAAGCTTTTGCAATGCCTGACAGTTGAAACACAAACAAACACACACACACACACAAACAACAATGGGGGAGGGGGAGGGGGAAAAAGGGAAAGGGCGGTCGCAACTGCATTCGCGACCAGCCAACATGGCGCGGCACACGTGTCTGTATCTGTGTGAGCCTTGGCTTAGCTGCTCTGGCCTTTTTTGACAAATGTGAGCGTATTCTGCAGCTGGCAGCAGCAGCGATACACTCATAAAAATGTCAAGGATCTCATAAAGACCACAACCAATTTATAGCTATTTTTATTAAATGGAATAAACACATTTATGGAAATTAAAAAAATATTTGTTCTTATTTTTATGAGAGAATTGCAGATAAGCAAAACTAGAACATTTGATCAGTAATTATTCTGCTTTTATATTTTACTCTTTGTTTATTGCAAATTAGATAATAAAAAGTAAATTGGAATTGTTTATTTAATTTTGTGCTGATAATACAAACACATATTGGTTTTAAAATTGCTATTGCAATTTTCTAATGTTTAGGATTATCTTTTTATGAGTGCAGCAATCAGGCAGCAAAACAACTGCACTTGCATTTATTTTTAAACATCTTCCCGTCTTTTTAAACAAGCTTAAATTTATATTTATGATTTTCGGTGTTCGTTTTTACATCACCTGCGCCCCGGCTTTGCCTTATTTCCTTCGCGTGTCTTCGCTTAACTTTCTGCAAATGATATTTTTAAACCGAAAAACCAGAGCAGAGCAGCGCAGAAATATGGCAGAATTTAATTAAATTTTGAACGAGTGCCTTTGAGGGGCTCTGCGGCAACCTTGAGCCAACATTCACTCACCACACACTCGAGCACCTCAGCATTCGGTGCCTCGAATGCTTCAGTACCTCAATGTTCAGTGTTCAGTGCCTCAGAAAACAGAAAAACTGGCAGCAATTGCCGCTGCCTTCGGCACTTTGTTCACAGACCATGTTCAAATAGACCAGGCCAGCATCGTCGACGTCAGCTTCGCAGTCGTGTGTATTAATTTCACTCATATGGCTGTTAACCTTGAATTCTGATTAGGAAGCGATTTGAATTTATCTATAAGTCATTTTTCTTCGCTTTGGCACTCGCCTTTCCCATTCGCATTCGCAATCGCAATCGCGTTCGCTTTGCCGCTCGCCTTTATTGAGTTATTATTAAAATTTAATTGTGCTGCTAAAAGTCATTTGGATCCCTCCCTCTTTCCCTCCCCCCCTCCCCCTCCCCCTCCTCCTCGTTTTTCGCATCACAAGTGCAATTTGTGGGGCATTAACAATTGCAAATGACTTGGCCAAAGTGTCGACATCTTGGCTGCGTTGGTAGATTAGGCAACCCGGCGACGGGCACGGGGCGTATGAGTAATGACTGAGAAGCAAAGCAGCTGGGCACAAATGTAATTACACCTTAAGCAGAATAAATGACAGAGCGACCGACTGACAGCCGGGCAGCCTACGCCCAGAACCCCAAGAAACTGCAATCGATGGAAAAGTTGAGGAAAAACAAAGGGTTACAGAGGGAGAAAATCTTCAATATCTTCATCAATCTTGTTTATATTTTAATTTAAATAATTGCCAAAGCAAGATGTATCATACATTTGAAAGCTATATAATATAAATATAAGCTTGCAGCCAGATTGCTATAATCTTTCGTATATTCAAATTACTTCTATGTTTAGAAACTAAATTCTAGACAAATTACTAAATTCGAAGAATGACAAAAGCCAAAGGAATGTGCATTTAGTTTATCGAAAAATTATGCAGTAAAAACGGTTGGGTATTTTTAAACTAAAACGTCGTTTAAAACTTATCGCCAAAGCTGACAAATGGCTCACGTCTTTTGCATTCAACAAGCTAAGGAAATAGCTGCCGCAATCCGTCAAAAGTCTGAAAAAGTCAGTTGCAGGAGTGCCTAGACACACACACACAAACGCACAAGCAATCACTCGTGCGTGGCAGTGTGTGTGTACGATTGTGTGTGTGTGTGGGAGAAACGAACTCATAAATTTGTCATAATTGCAGAAATGTGACTAAGGCAAATGGCAATGGGTGAGCAAAACAGAAATGCAATAAAAACACGAGTATAAATACAAATATTTCCACATACGAGTACGCAGTTAACAGC